AAAAACTCATTCCATTTCAATTTACTACTTTCTCGCTTGGTTATTCGTGCTTTGGATTGATAATCACAGGTGATGTCGAAAATCGATTGTTGTCGATTATTTGATCATATCTTATATTTTGAATTTTGAAAATACCAGAGTTGTTTTTCGAGTAACCTCTTCCCATAAATGTGTGTTTTTTCGTATAAACGTTTTGATATTTACATAGTTACATTTGCGTTTGTTGAAAAATAATAATAATAATAATCAGTATATATTTATTTATGGCCTTTACCTATTTTTATTAAAACTTATCAGCTGATTTCGATAAATTTCCCGTAAAAATTAAGGAACTACCCATTTTTGGCGGAATTCGCTTCCAAAAATTTTAATGACAAATTACGTAATTCGGTGAAATATGCCGTATAAAGGCAGCTTAAGCAAGAATTCTTTCTTCAAATTGTCAGAAGTAATCAAAAATATATTATATTAGGCTTCTGTGGCACTAATTTTTATCTAGTCGATTCGTTAATTTTATTGTACTATGCCTGTAGGCGATCTGTCACGAAGTTATAAAATAGTTTTTATTTAATCTACAAAAATTTCGTAGAAAATTGTATTGTTGCAAGCGGCGATAATTATTATCATGAATCATAAAAATAAGATTGTACTCGCTGGTGTATGATTCATAGATAAGGACAGCATAACAAACATTTTTTTTTAATTTTAGTTAATTACATGTAACCATATTTTACTTCTACTGTGTACATATTTGGCGTTTTCGCTTGACCTCAATACAAGTGTATAATAGTTTTCCAATATTTTTTCCTTACTAAGTATAATTTTCTTCTTGCTATAACATGTAAGCAACGGTTCTAACCTGAATCTACACTCGAATGCATGCTTTTATTTTTGTTGTATAAACACGTGCTTTTCACATTTGTTGCACTTAATAATATGCACGAGTACTCGTATACACGTATGTATGTATATATATACACATGTATGCATGTGTTGGTATAGACACTGTTTAAACATTATTTATTATATCGCATAAAAGCCGCACTATCATTAAAGGACCATGAATTACAATAAATGCAAAGAAAAACTGAGTGAAAGAAAAGAAAAATCGATAAATAATAACTATCGATTAGGTATTGGCAGAGTTGATTGCAGCAATTAAATGTATGTTTGGCGAAGGCCTAACTGCAATTGTAGAGTCGATGATGAAAACTAAGCGGCAAAATGACTGGCGACTTTACGAATTTATGACTTTCTGACTTTGTGACTTTGTTCACGGATTTATGTACATATGCACTGGTAAACTTATACACTTGTGTATCGTGACATGGTTGAGAATTAATCATAACATAAAAGTAAATACCACAAATGACAACGACAATGATAGCCTATATTCACACAAACAACCTGGAAACATACTTTTATTTATACAAATATAAATCCCACCCAGTCACGCAGTTTGCGGCGTAAATGCAATGCGAACAGGATAAGGTCAGTTGGCGAATCGATAAAAAATAGCTTGGTAGTTTTTCAATTCTTTTACTTTTATTCTTGTTTTTGTATTTTACTTGTACCGTTATTAATTTAGTTGATTGGTCTCGTTGCTCGCTCGTTGTTGGCTGGCTGAATGGCGGGATGGCTGACTGACATAGTAATTTTACTGTCATTGGAAATGGATTTATAATACCTGTATACTTTTGTTTTAGTGTTAATATAGGTGACTCGTTAATGTTTAATAGTAATATTGTTGTCTGTAGTTATAATCATTATAGCTAATATCCCTAGCGTCGTATTTGACTGTTTAATTACTTGTATAATATTAATTATTTGGTTCAATACTAATTTCCTATGCAATTTCACATGATTTTTCATGGAAGTACCGTTATTTTGAACTTAATTTTGACAAAAAAAAATTGTTATTTCAAAACTATTAATTATGTTGCCGCACAAGTACGGAGAATCTCTGTCAAGTTACTAGTTAGTTAGTTAGTCGATAGTTCCATTACGAAAGTAATTTTTAAGAAGCCCGTCGGGAAAAAACAATCGTGAATACGATGTCGGAACGCGCTGAGGTTTGAGAAGTGGCAGAGGTGATAATCTACCGACTCCTTCACGTCTATGTTAATTCAATTATTGTTGTGAAGTCATTAGAGAAGTATAACTCATTTTTTTACCACAAGTTATCATCACACACCTGATAGCTTTCGGTTATTACGTCGGTTGTTCTCTTGTTGCTGTTGTTCCAAACCCCGTTTAGGATCAGTCAAGACTAATCTGAGTTATCGAGGTCAACTAAAGGGAAACGGTCCCGGAACCGATTAGATGACTAAATTTTAAGCAGCTTACAGTGAGGTAGTTAGTGTCGTGGTGATATCTCATTGCACGCTGGGCATACGTTGAGCGTGTCGAGAACAAGATCGGATAAGTGTGATTCAAGTCAACTCAACATTGTCCAAATCTCATTTGTTCCAGTATTACTCGTATCTAGCTAAGCAGCTAGAGCTCTGCGATGTTTTTCTTCGCTTCGATAAATGATCTGATCTATCTTGTTACATTGTTTAAGTCCGACTTCTGGTATTGGTGCTATTAGTGAGCAAAAAAAAAAAAAAAGAATTTTGAAGAATATTTACAACTGTTTCTCTTCCAGCTAGCTATGCGGCCTCACAATTTCTTAGAATGTATCTGCGCTCGCGAGACCAAACCACGTTTTTATACATACAGCCGCGAGTTCGCTTCAAACTTCTTTGGAGCGTACTGCCACCTTTGAGGTAGTGTGTTTGCATTGAAAAGCCTTAAATGGAACCAAATTTTTCCGTACTGTTCTGACTGAACGAGATTTAGGAGAATTTGAAGATTTAGGTTGTCTGCTGCAGTGTGTCTAGCTTGCTTCTGAAAGTATATTTAAACAGTGCAAGGTACCAGAGAGTGGCTCAACTCATCATCCATCTTTAACCGTTCTGTGGGGAATTTCCTAATGTCATGTTTTACAAAAAAGAAATATTATTTTCTGATAAAATTGTGACTGTGTTAGTAACATCACACTCTTTTTGTTATTGTATAGAAGATCTGCCGTGTGTTAGTGTAGGTGAAAGGAAGTTAAACATAAACTTTATTTGATGCATACTTTTAGGTTGTAAGCAGCAGTGTAATTATTGCAAAAATTTGCCGCTAGAGCGCTTCATGCATATCCGGCGATTCTATTTTCCTTAATTGTTTGCTTTTGATAAATTTCATTTAAATATAACTATAATAATAATAATAATAAATTAAATAATACATATACATTTTGAATATTAAATAAGAAAGATTTCTTAGAGTTTTTGAAGACCCATGAATTTATACCATTTCTCAATTTCACTAATTTTTTTTTAATTCTCATTCCTATTATAAATTTGGCGCCAGTTGGAAAGGTCTAATGAAGTCAGGATATTCTTCGCTATTGACGAGTGAGTACTGCGTCGTAAATTTTCAAAAGTGTAATAATCTCGTTCTGCTCTCGCCTTTCTCGGGTGTTTCTTTAGACGTGTTGTTTTCAATGAGGAAGTAAATTTGTCGGAGATGGCATTTTTGCCTTAATTTATACTCGGCTTAAATGCCATTTCATAATAACTGCTTCACATAACCCGTCCGATATTCGGTCGACATGGTTGGTTAGTTGGTTGGTTGGTAGGTTGGTTGGTTGGTTGGTGGAGGACCTGAAAAGCGACCATACCCAAGCCATAGACTAATGTTTTTACTCTGTGCGCCTCTGTAAAACCTAGAATTTCGTTCGATTTATTAAATTGGCTTAACTTCTTCCAACCATGTATGTCTACCTCCGTAAGATTGAATCTGGGGGCACCGTGAATGACGGGACGTTTCAATCGGCTGAAGGCCGTTTCGCCATCTTCTCTGCACACTCTACATTAAGCCGGTGCCACTTTACATAGCTTATGGAAATGATATTTCAGGGGTAGATGATCCGTCAATATAGCCCCAAGTATACTAATTCTTGTTTACTTTATGTTAGTAACAATTTGGTTGCTCTTCAATCCACACAGTGTTCGGTTGATATAATCTACAGGGAGAGTTATTAGTTTAAGCAACTATAGATCGGTTTCGCACAACATTTACAACGTCTAGAGGATGAAGCGCATCTTCAAAGACACCGTACGGGGCGCACCGAAGACGAGATTGCACTGCTGTAGAGCAAAATATGGATTTAATACGTCTTTGCGTGCAAATACTGAATCTGTGCGTAACCACTTCATGGAAGATTTTGCGGACGGACTTTGGTTTTGCATTCCTATAAAATTTAACACGTCCTAGATTTGAAGCCGAGCTACCATCAAGCGCGTCGCACGATCGGTGGATGGGCCCAAAACCAGTTGGTACATTTTTAAACAAAAATTGTTGAATTTGAAGGTATGATAGTCCAGAAGCCATTTTAGAGACCCCATTATATCCGCAAAAAGTCACTGTTAAGTATGCTCTCTGGGTAAAAGGAATCATATTTCTTAAAAAATGAAACCGACCTTAATGTTGCTGTTAATTGGGAAAGCTATAGAGCCATGAGTAAGTAAAGGCTTTTTCATGCCTCAATTCGAGGATGTTGGTGTGAACGGTTCCAACAAGACGGCGCAACATACCATACAGATAATGCAACAATCAATTTGTTGAGAGAGACTTTCGGCGAGCACCTCAGCTCGTGTCGTGGGCCTGTGGTGGTGTGGCCTCCAAGGTGGTGTAAATTAACATCGCTTGACATTTTTTTTTGTTTGGTTATGCCCGAAACCATTGACCACTGGAAAAATAGTATTCGGCGAGCTATTGCTAACAAACGGTCCGAGTTGCTGCAAAAAAGGTCGAAATTTAGGACGCTCGGCTGGTATTCAAAAAAAAAATAATAAATTTTAAAAATTTTTTAAAAAAAGAATGGTAAACCTCTCTAAAAGAAATCCCTTACATAAATATTTATTAATTCTTCCTTTCTACTCTAATTAATAAATTAAACAAAGTCGTTACAGGAAATCATGTATTTTAGAATACCAATTTATTAGAAAGTCATTTTATATAAAGTTTCACGAGAATAAAAAAAATCAGAATATATATTTTAAGAATACATACAATATGTATGTACATATGTACATACAATATGAAATATTTTATTTTAAGTAATAGAAAATTAAATAATTCACCTTAACCTCACTCTTTGAATATTTTTAACATATTTTTACCCATAAACGCCCATCCTATATGTATGTATGTATAGTTTGTGAACCACATGCACACACATACATACATTTGTATTTGAATAAAATGTTTAGTTTTCAATTATGCCATAACAAATTACATTGGTCAACAACAACAATACTTCGTTTATATGTATGCTTGGCAAATACCGCTCGTTGAAAATGCTTGGCTAAAAACTACTTAGTAGGATATTTCTTTGTTTTTTTTTGTTTTTTTTTTTTATAGAGGTTATATGTAAATCTTTTGCTTACATACATACATATACATATAAACTACATAAAACCTAAATTGAATATTTCTAAATTAAAAATGCGCCACCAAACTGAGCATGCGTGGGCCATTGTATGTCTTTCATACACATACATATGTATGCACATACATTGCAAAACCGAAATTCCCACGCTCGCCGAAGTCCTGCTTGAGCAAACCAGTAACTGAGCTACTATTAATGATTGCGACCATTCGTGTGACCATTCGCATTGCCGTTGGCATAATGACCGTTAGATGTGACAGCTGACACTTTAGCAACATGACCATTCAATTCAGTGGCACAGCTATTGGCCGCTGCACTTTTCAATTTCTTCGTAGGTGGTTCGTTCGTAATGGACGCAAAATCGAAACGTTGCTCCAGCATCATATGCGAATTGGGCGGCAGACCAATGCAGCCGCGTAGTATGTTCTCAATAGCCGCACGTTGACGGAACAAAGAGTTCACCACTTGTGCACCGCGCGGCATCAATGGCGCCTTGCAGAGATAACTGAGTAGCGAGAGTACCGGTTTGAAGGAGATCCATGGCGCATCGGCGCGTTGATTACTCTTGATTTGTATGCGTGAGCATAATTCGCCGAGTATGATCAAGTCGAGTATGAGCGGTGAGGCGAGTAGCGAATCCTCGCAGGTATTGTGTATGACGAGCGTATTATGACCGCCCATCATAATTTCCGATGTGTACTCATCCATAGCACGCTTGCTGTCGCCCACATAGGGTACATACTTGATGACCACCACGTGATCGGGATGCTCATTGGGCCGGTAGAGCACATCGTTGGACTCGACCATGTCGTCGACGACATTGCTCTTGGAAATCTAATGAGATGAGATGAGAGAGTGGTAGTAAAATGAGTAAATATTTGTAGAAAATATTGTCGAACTTCAAAAAGAATACCCACCTCCTTCGAACGGAATTGCTGTGGCGCTGACAAATTCTTGCCATCATTATTGCCCAAATGATTGTAGCTCACAATGGACACGGGCTTGATGCCGGCGCCAACTAAGAAATCGACCAACACAGACTTCAATTTGGTTTGTCCTGACTTGAAGTCGTCGCCGGCAATAAAAACGCCCTTATGCTCAGCTAATTCAATTAAACCAGGTACAAAAGTATTTTGCGGCGAGCCATTAATGTAAGTACACTGTAAAAAATTAGAAAAAAAATATTAATGCAAAAATTCTTCCATGCAATGCCACACGCCACCACTTACACCCTCATCAATGCTGGCCATAGCGAAAATAGTCGATGGCGATATCTCCGCCTTGTTCGCCTTCAGCGATGCCTCCAACTCAGCCATGGTGGTATTCAAACCCGCTTGCACTTCACAGAAGCGTTCCGTGTTAGCCGTCCACAGCACAAGTACCGTATCGACGCCGGACTTTTGCTTGAAATCACGTATATCACGTCGTAATTGCTCGTATTGCTCGAATTTTGTGCCTTTAATTAGATTATCAGCACGATCTGATTGATTGGCGGCAATAAAATCGGGATCGTAAATAGACGGCCGCGGTTTGAATGTCGACAAAGACTTGTACAATTGATCTTGCAATTCTACATCCAAAACTTGTGCACGCTTCATGGCATCACCAATATTCACCGAACTAATATCCCAACCATCGACGATAATGTCATCGGGATTTACCATTGGCATGAGATCTTTCATTGGCACATGTACATCCTTGCCATCCTCATCGGAGCCAATGAGTATAGTTGATGCTTGTGTAATGGAACCAAACCAATTCGCCTGCTGTATACCTGTACGTTTACGCCATTGCAATTGACGACGATTAGCCTCTAAGGCAGCAGTTAAAGTGGAGCCATTGTTGCCACCCCAACCTACGAGCATGACACCCAATTTGGGTACACGACGATCGGTGCGTATCTTGAGTGCAGCGGTTTCCGGATGTACCTGTGGGAGAATCAGAGAAGGAGAAAAGAGAAAATATTTTTTATTGGAATTGTGAGGTATTTAGCAAACAATATTATATTTGATGAGCAAATTGAGGTTAGAATTGAAAAAAAAAACTGGTGGTTTCAGGGTCGGAGACGTGTTCAGTTCGAAAAGATATTTTTTACCAAGATTCAGACGGCAAAAAAAATATTTAAAAAGAAAAAGAAAGCCCTTCATGGTCCACTGTTTTCGGCAACATTTAAATCCGCTAAAAAGTCTGAGGCAGTCGATGGTGACAACCGCTCCACTTCGAGCCAGCTCGTCAGGCTTTTCATTGCATTCTACATCTATGTGACCTGAGATCCCAGTGATATTCACTATGTTTTACCACGATAGTCTGTTGGTTGCCTCTTTGTCCACCAAAAGCCTGAAAGTTTGTCCCATTAACATAATTTTCTGTATGCCCTCAGGTGCTTCACAATTCAGGGACTGGTTCCAACTGTGTAGAACAATTAGGCGGCTAGGCATCAGCGCTGCTTCACACATCGGTTGCATGTTAATTGACTTAATGAATTAAGGATTACTTCTAAAGCCTTTGTTCAAGTAGTTCTCAACACGCATGCTATAACAAGTAGACAAGTATGTAGTACCTGATCCAAAGGTTTAGGGCGGCACTTCTGCTTTCATGTTGACCACCTTACTAGAGCGATAGGGATTTGTTAGTATGGGTCTTACAACACTTTGCATAAGGCCAATGCACGATGTGCGACCGTAGATCTAATTTCGGCGCAATAACTCTACTCTGCACGTATTTCAAATTTCGGTACGCTTTATTGGCACTGCTTTCAACGTGTTCCCTCCGGCAGAGTTTTGTTCTGTATCCAGGATTATACCAAATTATTTACAGGAGTTGGAAGGATTTTTTTTTATTAACCTTTAAAAATGCTGAAGCGATTTTCTGCCACGTGGTTTGTGGTTTTGCGTTTTGATGTTTTTTTCCAAAAAAATGGTGAGACCTACAGTCTATTCCAAACCGCCACGGAATGGTCGATGGGTTTTTATGAGGTGATGTTATTTCACATCAGAAATATACTCGGAGGGCTTGAAATTCACTGCCTAGGGGCGACCGCAATTGGTCGAACCAGGACTCCAGGACACCATGAAGATTCAAATGTTAATAAGCAAGGTTTATACCGACATATTCAATAGAGTTGGGTAGAATTAGAGGGAATCAAATGGCTACCTACATATTTTAAGAATAGTGGGTTGAATTAATGAACTTTCATCTTTATAGCAAAGAGTAAAACTCAGATTTTCCTGATGTCTCTCAGTCCAATCAGCTGCGATTTCAAGTTACTTCTCTATTATCCTTGAAAGTCGGTTGGGGTAAATTGCCACGTAATACCGATTAAAATATTTTGTCTCAAATCCAAAACCAATCAGAAAACAAGCCAAAATTTTTTAAATGATATCTTTCTCTCCTCTAGTATTCAAATACAATAAAATACCATTTATAATTTTTCTCTACGAATTTTTAATTAATTTTATTCCTTTGAATATGGAGAATGGTGTTTGACGGCTAAAGGTTTCTTATGTAACCAAAGAAAAAATTCGTTTATAAAAATAATAATAAATATTAAACCAAACTGCTTTCCTGTTTTTTCTATCAAAACATACATATATATGTATGTGCATAATTATATACAAATATTAAGCACATCCAAAGTCCACAATTCAAAACACATTTCACACAATTCTTTATGCAAATATTTATCATTATATATATATTTATTTTGCGCAAATGTGTTCTGGTGCTTTTTTCGACAAATGTTTTAGTTATTTCACTTTTAGAAATATTTTTTTTTTCAAAAATAGTGAAATGATAAAAAATTACTAAGTGGAAGGACTGAACGCCTAATACTTCGCACAGTCAACGACGTAACGCATGTACGTGTACATGACACCGACACTTCCGCCGGCCGTAAGAGAGATATCAAAAGCAAATTCATTTTTTTTCCGCTGTAACACCTGCTCGGCTGATTGCTCCTTCCAGTATAGATTAAAAAAAAATAAAATAAATTCTATTAGCCACGTAGTGCACTCAAGAGGGGAGAAGTTGTTAAGCTGAGCCATGTAAAGGGAGGAGGAGATGAAAGTAGTTATCATGAATGTGAATTTTTCTAAAATAATTATGATTGCTTTGTTTTAAGAATAATGAACTAAATTAATTTATTTGGAAGTGATGTAAACTTATTAACATTACAACTTTGCTTCCGCCGTTTTCCGATAGTTGGATGTACCGGCTGAGGCTGGTTGAAATACATAGATGATAATGCCTTTAAAGTGAGTGTGGACAGTGCCTAACGAATTGTCATCGCCGTTTCAGTGACAATTGTTCTTCCCATTTGCGGGAAGTTTTACTTTTCTGTTACAATTGGAAACAAAAATGCAGCTGAAGCGCATCGAATGCTCTCAGAAACTTACGGTGATGCTGCTCTGAGTGAAAGAACGTGTCGGGAGTGGTTTCACTTCGCAAAAGTCGTCAAAAAGTACCTGGAAACACTGAAATGGGAAGTCTTGCCTCATCCGCCGTATTCCCCAGATGTCGTCCCTTCTGACTTCCACCTATTCCGTTCGATGGCACACGGCCTGGCAGATCAACATTTTTAATCCTTCGAAGAATTGGAAAAATGGATTGCTTCATGGATAGCGTTAAAAGAGGAATCCTTTTTACGAGCCGGGATCCGAAAATTGCCGTAAGCATGGGAGAAAGCTGAACAATACTTTGAATAATATATCTGTAAGCACTTTTTCGCAATAAAGCTTTTATTTTGGAAAAAAAAACGGCGGAAGCAAAGTTGTACACCTGATATTTAACAAAAATAAGCTTTATGCATTAAAAATAAAGTACTTTTTTTTATAAATCTAGTAGAAAGTACAAATTAAAGCAAGCGTAGCAAGACCTCTTTCCAACAGGCAGATGGGAAAGGACTTCACATAAAAGGTTTTTTATGCTATACGAAAGGCGGTAGGGACTATATTTTAACAAAATCAATTATTTATTCCAAGTTGTGAATTTTATTAAAAGTGCCTTTATATATAAATACATACACATACATATATAACCCGCGCTTTCAAACCGCTGAAGCTATTTTTGTCCGATCTTCTCCCCCCAATTTGTGATTTTTGCGTCTTGATGTTTTTTCCAACGAATGGAAGACCCTACATTTAATATTAATCCGCCTCCGAACGACTGTGTTTTTTTTTATGAGGAGCCACGACTGGTCCCGATTAAATTTCACCCTGCGGGTTAGGGTCTCAAGAATTTACCAGCGGCAAGGCATGCCTGTCGTAAGAGGCGACTAAAATCCAATAGTTCCCGCGAAAATCGGGTCTTTATACCGGAACGAACCGGATTTTTATCCGGTCAAGGACTGTCACTCCCGCGACATTGCGGAAAAAAATACGTGGGGAATATTTTTGATGTTACAACAACAAAAACAACATTAAATTTCGTCCGTGAAGCCAAATATCCAACCAGAAATCATTAATCGTGTCTCTAAAGTATACCCAATTGACTGTAGCATTATGGCTGGCTTCATTTTTGAAGAAATATGGATCAATAATTACCTCTACCTATAAAGTAAATTTTCTTGGGAAAGCTGGGATCATTCAGCAAACGAGCGCTTGTCGGTCGTTCACCTTCAATTCGTGCACGAGTTGGATTTTGTATGCCGCAAACCAATATCTTTCGGGAAAATCGTCCATAAAGTGCATAAGCCCAGCTCCAATTGTTGCGCGCAATGGCGATGCAACTCATTTGTGATCTTCTTCGATACTTTGATCATCTTCAGTGCGCACTATTTGGCATCTCTCTCGACGATTTTTGAATGCAAAATAAATATCGCTACACGAGTATTCGCGAGCAAACTTGGTGTAATATGAGATAATTTTCACATCATGGTATCTACATTGGTTGAGTGTAAATAAAAAGGGGTCGCCAAACAAGTATTGACATGCGCGAATTAATCCTAAAACGTTATGAAGATGACAAAAGTCAGCGTGAAATCACGGAAATGGCGAAATCTGAAGTTTACAAAGCAGCATTAATGTTATATAAAGGTAAAAGTTTCTGGGACACCGTAATTTTTGCGGACGAAAATAAGCTCAACCTGTTTAGATCAAATGGAAAAAACTTAATATGGAGAAAAGCAAATGCTGCGTGACAACCGTAAAGTTGACGTAGCACTGCAAAACATGGTGGAGGGCATGTAATGGTATGGGGATGCATGTCGTCTACTGCAGTTGGAAATTTGGATTTCATCAATAGTACTGTGGATAAGACTGTGCTTTTGGACATTTTGAAAAGAAATTTATTGCAAAGTGGCTCAAAATTAAATATTTGTATTAAGTTTCGGTACTATCGAGATAATGAACCGAAACGCAAATCAAGCGTACGTAGTACCTGATCCAAAGGTTTATGGGTCTTACGACGCTTTGTGTAAAGCCAATGCACGATGTGTGGTCGTTGGCTTATTTGGAACTATCCGCACTTAGTACCAACCGCGGCGCAGTCGCCAGATTTCAATGTGATTGAGAATCTGCGGTCTGTTTTGGAAAGAGAGATTCGAAAATATGAGATGCGAAATTAAACCGACTTATAATAAAAGGCCTACAAACACAATGGCACAATATTGCTCATGACTACACGAAGAAGTTAGTGAAATCCATGCCCAAACGTATGAAAGCAGTCATAGACAGCAAGGGGTATCCTACTAAATATTAATTAACATACAAGTACAATTTTAGTTTTGTTCTTCAAAAAAAAAATTAAATTTATTATTTTTTTTACTGCGTCATTTTCGCTGTGAGGTACAATTAAATAGTGTAGTTTGTTTTTGTTGTTAATTACATAAAATATATATAAATATATGTATTTTAAAGCTTAAATGACATGGCATTCACGTTTTTTTCGAAAATGTATTTTTAAATAAAACTATAAATAAAACTATTTCTTA